TTTTTTTTTTTGCTGCAAGTGTTAATCGGACCAGATATCATATTCCACAATAAAATCCATTTAAATTACCACTTCTAGATTCTGGATCCATCAAATATGCAAAGAACACACAAAAACTAGTAGAGTCTAACATGAACACTTGAAAATGCCATTCAATTATAAAAGAACATTGTTGAGGCATTTTCTCAAACACAGTAGCTACATGAAATTAGAAACTTATGAGCAAATGTCATTCAATTTTATTTCACTCCACAATCACAACAATTACATAAGCACATCAGATTTATTCAACATAAATTGAAAAAAAATCCGATAATAGTGGATTTCGAAAAAAAAAAAAAAAAAACACTTTCTTTTTAGACTTTCAATTAACTATCTTACATTCCTCAACCTTTATACTTGCGTGGAGCACTGGATATTGCAAACAGAGAAAAATAAATTATCGATCTATCCTATGGTTAGATTTTGGTGCCCATAATGTATAATCTTTAATGTAGAAGTAGAAGTAAAATGACCTGTACAATTCATTCTCATTTTGATTCATTTTCATTTTGATTCTTGTACAAGATTTTAGCCCTTTGTTATTTTTTTAGTTGACGTCGCCTGGTTATGTGTTAATTTAACAGCCACATCACATGTTAAGAAAAGCTATTTAACGGTGTTAATTACAAGAGGCCCGAATTGATAGTTTTAAAATATTCAGGCCCCGAATTGATAAAAATAATCTTTCGAGACTCGAATTGATAGTTAAACCATCTTTCAGGACTTAGATTGATAAAACTCATTTTTTTTTTAATGAAATGAGAATGAAATTGAATTAGCGAAGAGAGATGAGAGAGAGATTATATTTGATTTTATTTTTTTTTTAGAAAAATAGATAGTAAGGATATATTATCTTTTTAGGTGCCCAAAATGGCTAAAAAGGCTTTTGCCAAAACATGACTAAAACCTCTGTATTTTTTTTCCCTTTCGGCTTTTCATTTTAAAAGAAAAACCAAGTACTCATGGAGGTGTTCATTATTAATGGAATGTTCAATGTAGTATGTACGATATGTATGTCATCCACTTCATTTAACGTCTTAGTCGAACCTGAGTACAATACTTACTGAACTTTTTATCTGTTTTCCATATGAGTTATGCTATGCTATTAGTCAATCTTTTGTTGCTTGTAATTTTTTGCCTTATGGTTTATTTAGATTTATTTTTTACCTGTCACGAGTTATCAGGAGATGCAGGCAATATATGAAAACACCATTGCAATAGACAGAACGTTCATCAATTAACACTCAAAATTTTCAAATACCCATAGCTAAAAAGTTCCTTGAGGATCTTTCTTTACAGGTAAAACCCAAATTAACCTCAATTATCTGCAAATGGTTTGCATATTCTCATCCACAAATATCCCGTTGTTGAGACCAAAATTCACATGACTGAAACAAATAAGAGATTTTTTTGTTTCTAATATATAATCTGGCGAAACTCTCAAGTTTTAAAATGTAAATAAAGCTAAGAAAAATAAAGAAGATGCACGAGATGCATCGTATTTGTAGAAAATTAAAATTTCGCATGAATACATCACACCTTAGACCCAAATATCTGAGTCCTTATAGCCAACTGCAATCACAGCTACCAAACAACGCATCATGAGTTTCTACAGCTGCCAACAATCAGGTGCCGCAAACAGCAAATCTTACGAGATATTGGCTATCAACTCAGAACAACAGCAACGATCTCATGTGCTGTAACATAGCATAACTGATATAAGCTTACATCAAGATAACCAATTTTGACTTTTATGCGAACTCCTATATATATGCGTAAGCAATGAAAAGCAGTGTGAACACGGCTGACATCTTACCACCCCCAGGATCACAAACAGGAGATAGCACCTCGGGCGTGGTAAAAAAAAATATCAAGTTATTAACTTGAATTATCTCTCACGAACAAAGCAAACAGCTGTAAACATTCAATTGTGAGAAATTTGATGTCATTATATATTTTGTTAAACTAAATTCCTTACCACTTAAGATGTTCACTCAGAGTTCGTAACATAATCAAGAAATTCGAACAACAGCAAAATAAGCCACTCTGCAGCAGCAGGCGCCACCGCATCATCTAATAACAGCATCAAGTATCAGCTGCATCATCTAAAAATAGCACCAAACAGCATAGCTGCTGCATCATCTATAAAACAGCACCAAAATAGCTGCTGCTGCATCACCAACCAGCAACTACTCCTAGCGCACACAAACCATAGAAGGCAAAGCAAGATTTTATGAGCAACGCCCAAATGGCATACGTCCAAATTTAAGAAATAGCATGAATATGGAAACCAAAACAAAATATACCAAAAGCCTCAATCCTTAAAGTCAAGATGGTTCAAGCCAACCCATTCAAAGTACAGTGCAGAAACAATCAGAACATAACGTTATAGCTGGTACAGTACAACGAAAGGAGTTCCACCTTTGACATTGTCCCAAGGGAATATAAGTCATAGCAACAACCATACAGATGATAATAAGTAGATCAAGTTACTCAAGAAGACAGATGCTGCCATGTTCAGGCACAAGATCATAAGATTCTCACCCGCAAAACTCCACACCTAGTCCTGGAAATAATTAGTAAAGACAAAAAGGAAACAAAATGTCATTGCACAGTTCCCAGAAACAAGGACAATAAAGAAGACAGGGAACAAAAAATTACATCAGCCTCAGAACGTGGAGATCGGCTTCGAGAATCATAACGAGTACGAGGAGAGACACTCTTAGGAGTGATGGATCGTTCCTTCAAATTACGGGCACCCGGGCTTCCACCTCTAGACAGCGGTGATGATGATCTTACAGGAGACGGGCTCTTCCGTGGGCTAGGACTTCGCCTTGGAGGAGGAGAGCCACTGTGATCAAGATACAAATGTCAAAAAATAAAAATAAAAATCAAGTAATGTGACCAGTAAACGTCTGTCAAGACATCAAATATATACCTCTCGTAAGACCGACTCCGTCTTCGCCTATCACCATCATATTTGTCTCTTCCACGTTCTCGGCGATAATCAGGGCTTACACTACGGCTTAGGCTTCGGGACCTGCTCCTGCTTCGGTAGCGACTATCCTTGTCCCTGCCACGATGACGATCTCGTTCGTATTTGCCCCTACTTCTGCTTCGGCTTCTCCTACGGTAATCTCTGTCTCTGTAATCACTCCTAGTCGCAAATTCCAATTCATAAGCACAAAATTTAATCAAAAACCATAAAAGACAATAACCAAGTTGATATGCTAAAACAGATCTCCAAGCAGCAGAACAGAAGTAAAGACCCCCAAACAATGTTTCTATTTTACTCAACTGACAATAAGATAAAATTTCAAATGATAGATATCATCCCCCTATATATTAATCCAGAACGCGCTGAGCCTACGTGGCTGCTTCTGGTTCTTCGGAATCATATGTGGCAAAATTACATGCTTCGTTATTAGGCTTGGGTAAATTTTAATTTAATTCCAAACAAAAAATAATTAGGTTCGGATTACCATAAATATGTTGATTATTTATAAATATGTTGATTATTTATGGTCAGGTTACATGTATTAATTGCATTTTATTATCATTCTTTATTATAACTATTGAATTGTATATATATTTTAAAAGTTAATAACTTTTGTATTTTTTATCAGTTTTGCATATGTAATATATCAAATTAATCTTCTTTTGATGAGCTTCGATTTAACATACAATACCCATATTGTATGTATAAAAAATAATTTATATTGATCTTTATAACAATAATTTTTTTTTAATATTAATTAGAACAATAAAATTATTTATCAACTAATATATTTATATTTCAAGTAGTTATATGATATAAGTTATAAAAACTATATAATATAACACATGTAAGTCATAAGTAACACATATCATTCTAAAATATATAGTAATATATTTTTTTGTAAAAAAGTAAACTAAATTTAATATAGTTTTCTCATTAATTTTAAAATTTAAGAATAATTTTTTAACAAGCACCCGTGTATGTAATACACGGGTGTTGTACTAGTTAGATTTACAGGGAAAAAAAAAAAAAAAAAAAAAATCAGTTCCTTCAAAGTAGAAGCATGCAGATACATTGAAAGATGTACAACTGCAATAACCACATAAACTTCTAAACAATGAGATTATTTCACAGTTAAAGTCTTAAAGACAGATGTCAATTGTTTACTCTGCCTGTGATAGCACAGTAACATAATATGATTGATTAACTTATGTTACCCCATTTAAACTATGTCGCACAATGTTAAACGTTCATTCGTACAGACCTACCTTGGCCTAGGACTGCGGCTCCGTGACCTTCCTCTTGACTTGTAAATAGGCTCCTCGATTCTCCCTTTGGTACTGGTTACAGAAAACCACACATGATCATTAACAGGATTTCCATAAAGACAATTATAATTTTCCGGTACCATGTGATGTGTATAATCATAAAGCAAATAACCATATGAATCCAAAAATCATTTCCAATTTAACGAGAAGAATAATTATAAATATTCCTAGCCCCGGCCTCTGAACAAACAATATGGAACCAGAAACGCAGCACGGTGAATCAACTTACATTCGCTCTGCATTGGGACCATATTTAGCGAACTGAACCATTATTTCTCTACCATCAACCACTCTTCCTGCATGAATAAGAAAGAAGCACAATATCAAATATGACAAACAACCAAAGCCAATCACTATTTTAGTCCCATCTCACCATCTAGCTTCTCAACGGCCTTTTGAGCCTCATCTTGATACTTATATCGCACAAATGCAAATCCCCTTGAATCTCCAGTCCTATATAAATAAAATCAAGCAGAGCCCTTAGGTGGCTAGGCACACGCACATGTAACATATGAGTAAGCCACACTTACAGAACATGTAGGAGATAAGTGTAAGTTTCCAAGAAAAGTACAACCCTATAAAATCCCGTACTAAAAGAGTAACACCCAACAGACCCGTGTTTTGAAGAGGACATCTCCAAAAAAATCTACTTCTTTATGGAGAACCCGCTAAGTCATGAGCCCATTCCATTTTTAGTTGTTTTGAATGAACCTAAAGCATTGTGGATGCTCGAAATGGAGAACCCACTTATTCGTGAGCCCATTCCCAATTTAGCACCAAACTAATTATTCAAACGGACTTTTGCATCCAAAAATCCACTTGAGAAGTGTTTCCAAACAAGAAGTAAGCAACTAATCAATTCTCACACAAACAGAGTCGCATTCGTGGACACCTAGACGCAAAAACAAGTAACTCATATACCTCCGGTCTCTTGGGATGAACACATCCACCACTTTTCCGTACTTGTCGAAAAGTGGGAACAAGTCGTCGGCAGTCGTACCTGAAAAAAGAATATCAATGATTAAACCACCCACGAAAGAGAAGAAATCGCGGGGGAGAAAGATAATTCGCCAGTGGAAATCAACAAAAAAAGAAGAGTGAAACAAATACGAAAAGTAATGTTGAGGACGAGGAGAGAGTAGGTGTCTCTAATGTCCGGCGGCCCAGATCTACCGAAGTGCGACATCTTCTTCCGGCGAGTGAGGATAGAGAAACTAGGGTTTGGAATTTGGGGCTTCTTTATGGTTTTTCGGACTCTGATGGTCGATTTAGGAGACTGGTTTTTTTTTAATGAGAATGGAGTGCGGCAGTAGGTCATTGGGCCGTAGTAGCTCCAGTATGAGTGACGTAAAATACCAAACATACCCTTACCTCAAATATACAAGAGGAAATAGTTATTTTCACCCCGTTCTGAAGTCATACTAAGTTTTACATACCACCCAATAAAAAGCTAATTTTTTCACCCCAAAATGTACGAAGACATATGCGATGAACTATGCGCTAAATATGCGACAGGTATGAGCAT